CTTCGTTGATTTCAAATGCCTTATTAACGTACGGGGAGCACTTGATGAAGTCTCTATCGCACATGGGGGGAGTCAGGGTATCGAAGAGACAAGCTCTGGAAATCTTCCGGAATGGACGCGGCAAACAATTCAGCATCTACCGCGAAAGAATCTATGATGAAGTCGCGAAGAAGTGGCTCCTGGTCTACAGGGTCACGAAAGATTGCGGAAATGTCGCGTACAAGGACTTCTTCGAGAAGGTCGCTGTTCCTGAGGTGAAAGGAACGAGATCTTCGGATTCTCCCGTGCATCAGCCGAGAAGACTGGGGATATCATCGAGTTTTGGCTTGGTGTCTTGGATGTGGCAAACATGGCAAAAGGAGTTGTGAATGTTTTCAATGCCAGCGTTGATCCTGCTGAGTACCTCAACGGATTGGAGAAGGCATTGGCTCAATTCACATCAACCTCCAGAACTACAAGCACCATCAATGACAAGAGACGGGGATCATTCGACTGCACCCTGCAGACTGCAGAAGCCGAAAGGGTCATGAAGATCATCCACGCAATCCCCGGATATGAATCGCTGGCCAACTTCTGCTGCCTCACAGAGTGGGAGAAAGATCCGGTATTCTCTCAGTATCGAAGAAAGCACAATATCACAGGGGATGACGCCAGCATGGGCGCTGATGCCGACGCCAAGCCAGGTGACGAGTCGTCGGCTCACCCTGGGGAGGAGGAAGCTGATGAGCCAGCAAATGACCCCACTGATGTGGTCAGGGACTCAGAGATTTCCGGAAAACAACAACTCTTGGATGCGTTGGGGAAACTCTTCACCGTCTCTGAGGATGTCAATGTGTGTTTGTACTGTGGTAGCACCAAACATGGTCACCTTGAATGTGAACATGAGAAAAAGGATGAAGTCAGAAAGGTGCTAAAGGCCGTCCGAGCGTCGCTCGAGGCTGATAGTCCCACATCTGATGACGTCGAGATGGAACCTCCGGAGCACAAAAAGGACGGATCAGGTGCTACTGAAGGGTCAGGGCAAACAGATGAGCCTACAAAACCGAGGTTTAGTGAGTACCAGTGGTACGACAGCATCAGGACTATGTCCGAAGTCGGAGACCTCGATGAGTATGGTAGGTTCTGCATTGAAGGGCGTGATGTTACAAAGCTGGGGCCCCAGAACGTCGTTGATCTCAACGAAGTGATCCGGGATGCTATTGTCAGAGGAGGAGGTGACACTTGGTCAGTGCCAGAGTTCCTTGCAAATTACTCCGACAACAACATCAGAAAACCCTTCTACAAACGAATCGAGGCGCCGCAAGATGGTTTCTTGAAAATCATCCCTACGACGGGAGCCCATTTCTTCAACTGCTTTTACTTTGGCGGTGTGGAGTATGCGGCAAACTATCGCTTCGAAACTGGCAATCGGCTCGACAGCTATGAGGACAAGGTGAGCACCTCACTGAACAGGATCCTACGACACAATGTGGGGAAGGCATCAGAATCACAGAGTCTGTTCTGTGACGACGCAGGCTGGGTGCCCATCGAGGAAGTACTCAAATGTGAGTCCATCTGGAGACATGAGTACCAACGCTGGCCGCACGTCTTCCTCGCCCCCAAAGGAAGAGCAAACGATCAAAGTGCATGGAATGTCAATGAGGCGAACTATCGCATGACATTGCTGTTCAAGATCATGTTCCACTGTGCCCGTTATGGACGTCGTGTGCGTGAACAAGTCTTGGCATTCGGGATCAACAAGGACATTGATCGCAGCAGCCTGACGTGCATTGACAATAAAGTCAGTGCGGACACGCACATCCCCGACGAGGGGCTACTGCTCTATCCAGTTGCAGTCCGCGCTCCAACAGGGCACAAGGAAGGATCCTCCAGAGATGACGTCTTGTTGCTGTCATCATTGCTCTCGCATCCGATCGCGCCCAACACCATCATGTCATTACCGGTTTGCTTCCACATCACGAAGAAGACCAACCTCCGAAGCATTTGGAGGCAATGATTAATTCCGGGAGGTCTTGGAGAAGGTCATCGGATGTTCACGTTCTTCAACCCATATGTGCCATGGGATCATAGATCATGGACCATCACGAAGAGCGTTGATACGCGAAAGGGGGACTACATCTGCCTCTTCATCCCGACCGAGACCTTGATGGTGGAGTACGGTGGTCGATTGACCGATTCGGGACAGATCGTTTCACCAAAGATCATCCCGTTCTCAGCGATCAAAGGAGGATGGATTCAGGATCCTAAGGATCAAAACAATAAGACATGGCTCCGGTTGTTCGTTCCGTCGGGCGACGACCAGGTAGTCAGGTCAGGCACTGTCAAGTCAAGAACTGTCGCCACCAAGGAGTCCATTCTGAGGGTCGCAAGTCAGTGCATCGACGCCAAAGAGCAACCGTATGACGAGATCACCATGGATGCAATGAACATCGTCAACCAATTCAGGAACAATCTCATTGAGCCTGGCGGACAAGAGCAATACCTGGCCCGCATCAAGCTGATTGACTACATCGTCGAACGCAAAAGGGTGCAAACTTCAGGTTGCCGTCATTGCCCTCATTGCCTCAATGAGACGCCGACGAAGTTGGCAGTATGTCTAGTTTGCTGGACAGAGCTTGAAAGCTGTGGAATTCGACCATATCGACTACAAGCTCCTGAAGACGATGAAGATGAAGCCACAAAGAAAGAGCTCGATGAAGAGGTTCGTCGACAAGAAGAATCGTTGTTCAAGGATACGGTCCACCAAGCACAAGAAAACGTATCTGAATCCAACGATTATGGCTTCAACCCTGACGAGGTCGACTACAACGAAGGCGATGACGAGGAAATGGATCAGGAGGAGGAAACTCAGCATGAAGACGACGAGATCGTTGAAGAAGAAGACGATGATGAAATGGACGTCGAACCTGAGAATGAACCTTCATCCAAACTACCAGCATGGACCAAGAATCTTGCGTGTGGAAGCAAAGGTTTGCCAGGAGATGGACTTGTCAACAATGATGTCTCCGAGGCCGCGGCTCACTTGTACGACAACGCCGTGATGTCAAAGATCATCGCAATGTTCAGACTCTACTATAAACAGAGAGTCACTCTGACCCCAGAGGAATACTATGCGCTGATGACGGCAAGCAAGCGAGTCCGACTGGACCTGGACGACTTCTGCCCTTACACAGGCGAAGATCAGGATGGCAACCTCAAGCGACCAACGGAGCTGGAATTGGACGAACTCTTTCAGGAGAAAGGGAAGAAGAACTCATGGTCAGAGGGAGAGAAGATGTACTCTGGACGACCGAGAAACATGATGATGCCTGTCATCAAAACTCTAGAGGTTTACGAAAAGATGATGGAGTTTCTGGTATGTGCCGGGTACACTCCCGAGTCCTTAGGTTTCCTCATGCCAATGAATAAGATGCAGGGTGATGCAAAGGAGAAACAAGAGATGAGAGTGACCATCAGCAACTTTCTCCGACGATTGCTGAAGGGAACTTTTCCCGAACATGAATCATACACCTTCTTTCGTTCCGGGAGCCACGGCTTCCCCAACTGCATTGAACTCCCAGCTTTCTCGGTATATCTGAGTCTGAGAGAAAAGGAACAAAGGGTGGAACTACTCTTTGCTGCCCAACAATGCGGCATTCCATTACCTCAAAACTTTGTCAGCAAGATGGCTTATGCTATTCAACTGGCTGAGGCCGAGGCGCAGAGGGGAAAGTCCGAGATGAAAATGAAGATGGCTCCGAACCTGGGGGACGAAGTGGTAAGTGAGGTATTCAAAGCAGTCGGGGATAGTGCCGCCGCCAAGCGTGCCACGGCAGACGCGAAAGCCAAGTCATCAGCACAGCCTTCACGGAAACCTGAAGACACTGGTTCAGCGTCATCATCATCGGCCAGTGCACCAAAGGCTAAGGCCATGCCGAAGTCCTATGAACCATCTAAAGCACCACCTGCGAAGCCTTCATCGCCGAAAGCTGCTCCGAAACGTGCGGCAGGTTGGGAGAAATCTCCAACAACACCTCAGTGGAAGAAAGTCCGCCGTGAGCAGTAAACCAACTACCTCTGTCCATCCGAATGATCACTGGACTATAAGATGTGTATCGTCTTTGTGAACAGATGATCAGGAGAAGACCAACTGAGTGGACTCTGAGCGAGGCAGTAGACTAATTCGCTTAGGTCCATGATTTTCATTATTCCCAATCTGCACGAGACTCTGCACAGTGCACGTGAATTCGTTAGTTAGCATTGTAAATCTTTGGTGGCGAAGCGGTCCACTTCTCCCGTCGGGTGAGTGACCTGCCTAGCCGACGCAGAAAAGTAGATGTTAGCTAGCAATAATTCGCGATGTACAGCTTGAAGACGCGCCATTGCATCGACAGCCATAGAGTAGGCGAACCCGGAACCACTATTCCCGTCGGGTATGTGGGAAAGGGGGAGCCGAATGGCAGATTTTTTGTCAATAGGCGTAATTCAAGCAGCAGAAGCCTTTTAATTCAAAGTTCCCTCTCTCGTGCCCGTGGTCCGAAGGATACCACGGACATGGGGGGTGTCAAAGGGAACTCAACGATAGCACTGCATGTGTAACATACATGTGACATGTGCCTGGGACGCCTTTTGGCTCAAGACCCCGCGAGTAAAAGGGAAGCTGCGTGCGCCGCTGTTTTATGGAACTACCAGCCTGACTGCCAGCATAACAGGGACTCCGAAAGAAGTTATCCAGAACAAGGATCTATTTGTTCACACATACATACATACATACATCCATGCATACATCCATCCATCCATACATACATACATACATATACATATATATATATGTATATATATATATGTATATATATATATTGTGCACCCGAAATCTGTGGATAGTTCTCGTTGTGCTCGTACAAATCCCGCAAGCCTACAAGTCCCCAACTGGAGGTTGAGGCTTTCGCATGAAAATCGCAGTGGACTGGAGATTTTAGGGACCTGAGCTTTCTTGTCAGCTTGATGGGCGGGTTGCCAAGGCGAAACGACGGCAATCCGCCGAAAAAGTTCTGGACAGCATGCTGCGAGACACAGGTCGGGGTCCGCCTCAATGACTAACGAATGTCACCTGCAGCTTCACAAGCTTTGATCGATGTCATCCCTTGAATTTTTGCGATCAAAGGTGTCATCTCTGGCTTCGAGTCTATACGCTTCTGGGCTGCAACCGATTGCTGGGGCACCCCGTAGAGCTCGGCACGCCGAGGAGAAGCCACCAAGGGCAGTGTGGAGCTGTTTTGCATCTCCGAAGCCATGCTGGACCAGACCCTTGGCGACGAAAAAGAGGTTTGTCCCCAAAGTAGGTAGGCTATACCCCTATGGCATCATGGTCATGGCCAGCAAAAACTATGGCAAAAATGAACGATTATGAGATTTCCGACCATGGGCTGATTGGCTAACCTTTATGTAGACCCAAGTGAGCTTTTGATCAGGCCTCAGGAGGAGATGGAGAAATGGACCAAAGAATTGGATACAATGACCTGAGCGCTGATGGTGAATTGGTTTACATGTCTACACCAGGACTGGTGGTTTCCAATGTTTTTTTACCATATTTGGGATGATGATCCCCATGACTACGTATAGAAAAGGGGTTGAAACTGCCGACCAGGAATTCTTTTGGGACTTCTTGTTTAATTTTCGTTGTAGCCCCTGGCTTGGTGACAACACCAGAGCTTGCCATTTTTCTGGGCCGCTAAAAGCAGGCTCCATGTGCAGCAGCCTCCGATGGTGCCAGTCCATCACATGCGTGCTCCGCCCACCCTCATTAAATGAGAAGGTGATGGATCAAGATGATTGAAGTTACCATCACTTGCATTCACTTGCCGTCCTGGGGAAGAAACCACCCTCAAGTGGACAGAGAGTAACCTCCGATCCCTTCAGCAAGTCATTCCAATGATCGAAATTGGTGGATTGAACCACTTTTATCTTTGGGTCCACCATCTGCCGTGTCCCTCCCACTGCCGCCCCGGTCTCACAGTGACCGCGAAGACGGCAAAAGACGGGGAGGTGTTACCAGGCGTGTGGTTGGGGGAGTCGGATGTCTTGTCATTGCTATGTTTTTTTCTCCAGGCTGGTTGGATCATGTTGGGTAGAGTGGCAACCCATGGTAACCCATGGTAACCCGTGGTAACCCATGGTAACCCGTGGTAACCCGTGGTAACCCGTGGTAACCCATGGTAACCCGTGGTAACCCATGGTAACCCCTCTTGAACAATGCAACTGCTGGTCTTCACGCAGCTTGGCTCCAGCTACCGGACCGGATCTGGGGCACCGATGGGTTTGGAGGCAAGATGGACACCCTGGACTGCCCTCAGTTGTCTCAGCTGAATGATATGGGTCTGTCTGAAAATGGGGTATGATATGATATGATATGGTATATTATGGTATCATACAACATGATGCAACATGATACAAACCATATTCTGGCACTTTTGAGAGGGAACATGATTGTGACAAATATAATTGCGCCTGACCTGTGACATGATGCAAGTGTGTGACTCAGCCACAAGCGGCCACTTGGCGCAGCTTTCAGCTCAAGTGCTGAGTTTGCTGTTGAATCTCGAAGTTTGAAGCTGTGCTGTGACGCTCAGCCAACTTTGAAACATGGTGAAACTAATTAAGATTAAGCAAAGGACATATAAGAATTGGCTTCCCAGAGTGCATGGGATGCGCATCCAGATGAAGAAGCTGACTTTCACCCGACCCTGAGCCTGTCCTTGCTTGCGCCATGAGCTTGGACGCTGGCAACAGTGAAGTGGCATTATGCCCCTAGAGCTGCAACTTATGGAAGTGCAGATGTATCACTGGATGTCAAGAGTTGAGACATGCAATCATCCATGGATGGATGGATGGATGGATGGATGGATGGATGGATGGATGGATAGAATTATATACATTTATATACTACATAGTGCTATATAATATACATACATGTGCCACTATAAGCAGAGGTGTGCAGAATTAGTTGCATCCCACGATTTTCCACTTGTTCCGCTCAGGTTCGCCCATGCCTGCCCCTGCCGACCCCGCAGCTTCGGACTCCGAGATCCTAACGGAGCGGCCGCTTGCGGCCAGAAACGTGGTGTTTACCCCCGACAAATATGTGTATTCCAAAAAAAGCTTACAACATGGTGGGGTTTTGACATGTTTTGACCATATGAACCAACTATTAGTAACTGGGGTTCGTTCAAAAACCCCGCCTTTCTCGTTTCAATTGAAACAACATGTAATTATGGGAAAATTGATCTTGGAATCGAGATGTGAAAACACAAGGTCCGCGCAAGTGGGCGCAAGGGCGAGCGCAAAATCTCTATCATAACATCATTTTGATAAATAATATCATTTTGTTTTTTAAATAGCTTAAGATAATCTATAAATAGTGCCAGTCATTTGTCAATAGCGTCAAGTAGTGTATAAATAGCGCCAGCCACTTTATAAGTAGTTTCAGGGGGGTCACCATAGGGAAACAGGCCACCGCACCCACTAATATATGTAGTATTTTTATATAATATCTTTATAGCACTTGATAGCACTTGCATCTACATTATTGTATACATGACATAATTAGCACATGTGAGGCACATTGTTCTATTGCTCTTCATTACTTTTCCCTTAAAGTTTATGTACTTATCCAGTCCATGTCTAGCTTTTTTTTTGGGGGATACAAGTAAAAGTCACATACTATTCTTCTATGTTCTTCTGCTATTTTCGTGATGCTTGTGTTCTTCTGTTCATGTCTCCTTGTAGTTTCTGAAAGCATTGGTTTTCTTTCTTTCTTTCTTACGCATACTCTGCTCTTCTAGCATTTTTTTCCCAAATGCGTAGCGAAGGGTTCTTGTTTTTCTTGGTAGGGGGTCTGGGGTGGAGCTGTTTTTGCGGCCCGTTGCGTTTCACGACTCTCTAATCGACCCCTCGCTGTGCCTATAGCGAATGCTGCAAAATGTGACGTTTTGGAGCTGCGAATTTAGGGCACCCCGGCATCATCCCTTCAGCAGACCCAATATTTGACCAAATTTTGGTAAACCATTACATTATTGACAAACTAGAACTTGTTGGGGTCAGCGAGAGAACCAAATTTGATTGCGGTTTAGTGGGGTACAGGTAAACTTGGTTTGGTAGCTCTGTAGGTTGATTTTGGCAGCTGTAAAGGGAGGGAAATAGCCGCCCCACTAACATTCAGCCCATCCCTGGATGACACACGGTATGACTTATTTGGACTCGAAAATGAACGGACCTGCCATTGAGCCCATGACTGGAGCTTCTTCACGGGGAAAGGGGTTTAGGTAGGGTGGGCTCATGTTGGTTCGTGTTGCATCTCGCAGGAGCAAAGCGTGGAAGTCACCATGTCCGACCGAAGTCCCCGCACCGGAGAGATCCAATTGGCATCGCCGGACGTTTCTCTGCTGCAGTGCGAGATCCGGGTCGACAAACAGCAAGGTATGCTCCACTTGAGATGCACCAGAAATTGGAGTAGCCACTAAGGTCACTCCCAAATCTGTGGAGGCACTGAGCATCTGGAGCTTGGTTGGACATGGCAACATATGGCACCCCATACGACCACACCTCGCAGGCTGGCAGTCGTCGTTCGAACACCTTGGATTCGTGCGCTGGCTCGCCGGAAGCGAACTCTGGCACGGACTGAGGGATGCAGAGGGATGCAGGGGATGCTGTTTTGTTCAGTGCCTCATTGTCACATGGTGAGCAGGAAGCCAACGACTTTTGCATCGTCTCTGCCGATGGTAGGACGTAGGGATCTCAGGTGCAATAAAGCCGGGAGTTATCAAAACAGAACTCCTTCGAAAGCATGCTGCAGGTTTCGAAAGCTTTCATTACATTGCTCTGTCCCAATTTTGAGTGATTGTCCAATATATATATATGTATAATATACCAATTTCTGGGATGGGAAACCACCAGCCACCTGCTGGGATGTTTTTACAAACTGGATACCCCGATTTGTTGTTCAAGTTGAAATATCATGAAATATCACATATTAAAATAATATTTCCACCAGGAAATTCACTACGTTAGTTGCCATATCTTGAGGACAAATCACGAGAAATCCGCTCAGGATCTCCGAGGAACACGAGACAGGCTGTCCCAGTGACCTGGAGATTGCGTCCAGCGAGTCGCAGCCAGATCTGGAGGAGGTGCGACAAAAACCCTCCATGAAACATGGCTGGGAAATCATCATAAATCATCTAATGGATTCATGGATTTTAATATATTTTAATGGGATAAAAATAAATCGAACTAAATGCTGATTTTTTTTGGGCCATGTTTGATGACACCACTTGCATACTGGACATGGCGGGGATCATCCCTGCCGTGTGAAACTGTGGAGTTGTGGATATTGGCATCATCTCTGTGATTTGTCTTTGTGTAGGTACAATAATATCAACAATCCGATTAATCCTGGAACTATGAAGGTCAGAAAGTTCTGAGTTATTTTCGACCGTCAAATTGGGATGATCTGATTGGTTGTCACATATTTGAGAGAGATTGAAACCACCACCCCGAAGAGTTTTGCCTTGGAGATCCTTTGGGGTGTGATGCCGCCACAAGTTACAACGACTTGGGGAATGATTAGCGTGGAGGAATGGCCAAATGGCCACCACCATCCAGTGATCCAGTGCTGGATGCAGCTGTAGCCAGCTTGGTAGGAGATGCCCTTGCACTTCAAGAGCCGTTTGGATGGCAAAGAGCATTATGGGCAGTTGATCCGAAATGCCCGGAGCCAAGATCCTTCAGGGGCATCATGGGGCCTGGTATTCACCAGCATGGTACGCTCCAGTAAACTAACAGTTTGCCATGCTAAGAGTTTGCTCTGGTAATGCTCTGGCCCATTGCTTTACCTATTACATAATTTATATTACATTATATTTATATAATTACATATCCTATATTTACCGAAGATGATGGAGATTTCCATGTGATTTTTCACAAAAACTTTGGGCTTTTCTCCATAGGTTTTCCCGTTTTTTTTAAATGGTGAGGTGGAGCTGCTGGGACGACGCTACCTGGTGGTGCGCACCGAACCCTCTGTGGAGGATTCGCACCAAGGCGCGGGAGCCAGGGTGAGACTTTGGAAGGGGGTCGATTCTAGTAGATAATCTATGAAACATCTTTGAAATTATATATTATTAGTATTATCATAATAATAATAATTATTATTATCATTATCATTATTATCATCATCATTATCATTATTATTATTATAACAATAATATATATATATATATACATGGGGAAAAAATATATAGATATGATATAATGATTATCTGGGAAAACTCGGATAGTCAGATAATCCATAAACAGATCTGGAATACAATTATCATGATCTGGACATGGAAAGGCACCGTTTTCACAATGAGTCATTTTCAAACTGTTGAATGACCAGACAGTACATGGAATATCATTGAGTTATAATCTTGTAGATATGCAGAATTTATATAGTGACAATCAATGGTGTTTATAACTATGAAATTTGAAGCGAATACATATTGATATAGATATATTTTGTACGTGAGTGGTATACATTGGTGTTAGTTACAGTACATACATAAGTTTGCAACAGTGTATGGTAATGTGGATGACACAGTCAAAATATGATGTTATATATATATATATATATGTGAATCCTTATTATAAAATAGCTCAGTCCTAAATATTGATGGTTCACGGAGCATCGCTCAGGACTGAGATCCATCATCCACGTCTTTGGCTTGGGTGTTGGCCTTGGAAAACGACATTTCTGCAGTTGGTTCATGCATTGTACTTGTCGTTTCGCATAGATATCTATCTATCTATCTATCTATCCATCCATCCATCCATCTATCTATCTATCTAATCTAATCTAATCTAATCTAATCTAATCTAATCTAATCTATCTATCTATCTATCTATCTATCTATATACAGGCATTTTTTCTATATACAGTATCTCACACACACACACATATATATACATACCATTGAACCATATCGATAGGTGGCAGAGAACTGTCGGAGAGTTTGCGCGTGCCATGAGGGTTAACAGACATTGACAGACCATTTCATCCATTCATTCCTCTACCTGCACTGAAGGCTACTTGAATCCGCACCATGACGACATTGTTGCCTGGCTGCAGTGTTCAAAACCCCTCTTGGTCGAGTATAAAAACAAGTATAAGGGGTCATACATATGAACTTTTGAACCAATATGTCATCATGCATTGCAGGAATCATTATCGCCGAACCGGTACAAAGGAATGACATTTCGAATTTTGAACAATGCTCATGAAAAGATGATCAACTAGCGCAAGATAAGGGATCCATCTATGGACCTGCAGGTGATGTTGGACAGGCCCAAGGCGAGATTCGACTGAGACAGCTCCACCTTTGGTTCACTATCAAGTTGATAGACCGGTACATCCTCATATTTTTATTTTGAAATTTCTATTTTTATCTCCATATACTGTGCTTGGGGATTCAAAACACCTAAGACCTTATCCCTGGAGACAACAGGCTACCTTGAAGATGTTCATTTCCTTTTTTGTGGCGACTAGACCCGAGGAGTTTAGTTGAAGTTTGCATATTCCAATCCCCAAGTGACTTGGGGCACAACAACCCGGGCCCGTGGAGGTGTCTGGAGAAAATGGTGACCACAGTGATGCGGAGGCGAATCAGGTGCCTTGAAATAGTGATCATGTGCTGGTAAAGCGGTACAGGTTTATAGTCGATATTTTTGGATCGTGGTCAGCTGATGCCAGGACACGAAACTTTCCGCTGAGGGACGCACGGTGGAGGAGCCGGGGATTTTTGTTTCTGAACTGCAACAACGTTGGGGGTTGGTGGTCCCCTCCCACGGTTACTGGTTGGTAGGTATTGGATGTATAAGTTTCGATTTTCCTTCTGTGTCCTTTTGTGAGGATCGAAGGGGTCTGGTTGAGACGTAATCGATTGATTGATGTAGGACACATCGATGCTGTTTCCTTTTCTTCACCAGGCTTCCAATACAGGGTTTCCTCAACGAAGCTTTGAAACCATTCCCATCAATGCATGTGGACTGTGTTGGCTTTATGATTTGTTTTCGTAAAGGGGATGGGTATGATGAGCGATGCACCCAAACATCCAAAAAGTCGATCTAAAGTCTATCCAGCAGTGGTTAGGAGGGATCTAAGGAAGTATGGGATCCACATTCCCCACGAAATGGGGGGCAAAGGAGCTACTTGGAGTTTCCCAAGCACAGAGCCTCAACATACCAGTTTTGTGTGTTCCTGTTGATCTCATGACCTTCTCTTGGGGCCAAAAGGTTCCAGACCATTCGCGATTTCGGCAGAAAGAGCTGCTGGGCAGTGGAGGCTTTGCTGATGTCTACAGGCAGGAGCCATGGTATGTCATGGTGGTAAGGGACGTGGAAGCAGCCACTGGTACGACTGGGTCGACGGCCTTTTCAGTGACAAACATCACTTACACAACATGCAAGGTTTCGAAATCCTCGTGTCG